AGTACACCATCAGCCATTTTCTCCCTTGTATTGTTCTGTGAAACAGCAGGTGCATAAGAGGCATAACCTTTCATTGAACCCAGAATATGCAGAAGCCAATCTAAACTAGTTGCTAGGGAACTTAGTTACATAGAAGAATGAGTATAGAATTTAAAAGGTTATGGTGACCTGAGTTGTGGTGACTTGAATTATGGGAACAGGAATGTTAGTTTAAATTTCATATGCCAATTGTGTATGCATGTACTTTTCCCAATACTGATTAACTTGTGATTGATTGTATGACATATGAATCATGCACTTTTCCCATGTTAAACCTGTATATAAGTTTGAGAATAATTATAATAAAGTTGGCACTGCTTTGCAATGGCTCTGAGTGTCCCTTCCATTCCTATCCTTTAACTTTTCTCTCATTTTTAACTCATTCTCTTACCCCCTGTTCTAGAATCGTCGCGCCGGCCGCGACAGACAAGTCATACCACAGTAGCAATCAGCCTTGTCTAGTGTAGGAGACAAGCTGATGACAAGAAAAGGGAGCTTTGAACCCTTATTTCTCTTTTTTTCTATGAATTCCTAACTAAAATTCAAACTATCAAGAACATATAATCAATGAAATTTGTCTAAAGCATACAATATAGCTGGCTACATAAATCTCATCTGTTTCAAAAAGATTAAGACTGACCAAGTTATTTTTAAGTGCAGAATAAGAACAGTTGGAAGGAAATGAGAACATTTTGACTTTTCAACAGAATTTGCTGATATTTTAAAGTAAAAGAAAAAAATCAGCTACTGATGTAGTTTTTCATAGCTCGGAAAGAAAAATTATGGTGAGCAATTTATACGTAGGCAAGGGAGAGAAGCAAGCAAAGAATACACACCTAAAAAAACAGCTCGTTGAGTAAGTCCAAAGAAAAGAAGAGATGGAGGAATGAAGAAGTTCACATGGTTTGAAGAAGGGCTCTAAAACCACATAGGAATAAGCCTTTTTTTGCTTGGAGACTTTAATTCCCATAATCATTTATTTAGAGAACCCTGGTGAGGCACCGCCTAAGGCATCTGACTGCTAACCAGAAGGCGGGCAGTTCAAACTCACCATCTGCTCCATGGAAGAAGATGGGGCATTCTACTTCCAGAAATATTTACCATCTTAGAAACCGAATCGGGGTCGCTATGAGTCAGAATTGACTCATGGCAATGCATTTGGTTTGTTTTTAATAATTAATTTAAGTATCTGGGTCCCTCCTATCTGCCTGGTACTGTGCTACATAATATGGATACAATAAACAAGACATGCTCTTTGGCCTCAGGGAGCTTATCCTCAATTGGAAATTTACAGTTTAGAGATCACTTTTGCTGCCCAAAAAAAACAGAAGGTAGGTAAATGAAATGTTTACCAATGCCAAATATGGACATACAAGATAGGTAAGATCATGAGTTCAAATAGTAAGATATACTTTTAGTCTGTCTCTTCCACTATAATGTTAGCTTAAAGAGGGCAGAAACAATATTGTTTTAATCATCAGTAGACACCCAAACTCTTGCAGACTGTCTGGTACAGATGACATTTAATAATATAAAATAAATCAGCTAATCTATAACAGATAACAAAGTATTTTAAGGACAACATACCTTAAAAGCTAAAATATCAGCAAAGTATGAATCTGAGCTGGAATTATGTTAAATCACTGCTTATTTTAACCAGTTAATTATTTTACTTTGATGAAATGATTCCTTCTCTATTAAAGACCTTAAGAATGAGAACTAGATAGGGAATGATTTTCTTTCAAAATTATAGAAAAGTACACACGTATACATCAAGTTTGAGAAACAAAGTAACTATTACTTTAACAAAATTAAACTCAAATATTGAATTAAATTTGAACTTCCAACAACAAAAAAAATTTAAAACCATAAATCCATTGTTCTATTAAGAAAATTAACTAAGAAAAACTTGTGACCAATCTCAAAAGTAAAACAGAAAGTTTACCAGGAAAATGATTAAGACCAGGAACTTGTTTTATAATTTAAATGTATCAACAAATCATGAAATTATGATTGTAAATTCATGATTGAGAATTCATATCTAGGCAGCCCAGTGCAAAGAACAGGCTGTTTTCACATGTTTGTTCCAGATGTACACTTTGGAATGTGGAAAGCATCTTGAGGCATGATGCTAATAAGTTAATTTTCAAACCACAGTGTACATGTGTTTTAAAATAACAAAACAAAACAGACAACAGCTAATCTTTTCTCCTTTCCTTGGGTGAAAGGGGCAACCCTGGGCAAAACCTTTATATAAGTCAAGTTAATTCTAAGGAATTCCTTTCTCAACTGTGGTAAAATGTAACATTTGTCATTCCAACCATTTTCACATGTACAACTCAGTGACATTAATTACAGTTATCATATTGTATAACCATCATCCTTATGTTTCAAGGAGCTCTGGTGGCATAGTGCCTAAGGCATTTGACTGCTAACCAGAAGGCTGGCGGTTTAAATCCACCAGCCACTCCGTGGAAGCAAGACTGGGCAACGTACTTCGTAAAGATTTACTGCCTTGGAAACCCAAAGAGGGTCGCTATGAGTTGGAATCAATTCAATGGCAATGAGTTTGGTTTATTATTATTATCAGTTTTCAAATATTTCCATCACTCTTAACAGGAATGCAATATCCCTTAAGCAATAATTCTCTTTTTCTCCCTCACACCTGACCCTGGTACCTATTAATAAACTTTGATCTCTATAATCTACCTATCCTAAATATTTATTTCAAATAAGTGGGGTCATGCATCCATTATTTGTCCTCTTGTGTCTGGCTTATTTCACTCAGCATAATGTTTTCAAGGTTCATCTATGTCACAGCATGTATTAGAACTTCATTTCTCTTTATGGCTGAGTGATATTACATTGTAATCATAAACCACATTTTGTTTATCTAGTCATCTGTTGACTGGCATTTGGGTTGTTTCCATTTTTTAGCTATTCTAAATAACTGCTTCAATGAACAATGATATAGAAGTATCTCTTTGGGTCCAAGCTTTCAATATTTTGGGGTATATACCTTGGAGTGGAGTTGAACTGCTGGGTCATATAATTCTATGTTTAATTTTCTAAGAAACCACCAAACTGTTTCCGACAGCAGTTATATCATTTTACAATTCCATCTAACAACAGGTAAGGGTTCCAATTTCTCCATATTCTTGCCAAGTGTGGTAGTTAAGGCTGTGTCACCTTGGCTGGGCCATAATTTTGAGTGACACAGCAATTGTGATGTAGTTATTCACCATGATGAGATTACATGTGGTATAATCACCTCCACAGTGGAAAATGCTGTAAGTAGGGGAGTTATCTTTGGGGTGTGGCCTGCTTCCAGTGCATATGGAAAGGATCCTGCATAACATCCCAGTTGCTGGACTTGAACCAATGGCCTGCCATGCTGCCTTCTAATCTTGAGATTGTTGCCTATGTAGCCTGTGAGCCAACAATCTGCCATTTTACTTGGTGATCTTAGATTCATCAGCCTCAGCAGCCAATAACTACATGAGTCAGGAGATC